AAGGGAGCGAGGGTCAATGGGGAGTGCTAGAGAAGCAGGGATTGGGAGCATCACTGGGGGACGGAGGGTTTGGGCCAGGGATGGTGGGACCAGACATTTGGGGAGGTGTCTGCGGGGCTGAGCTTGCAGTAGGGGGTGTCAGGGCCGCCGAGAACCGAGCAGCGAGTGCAGGGTTTGTCAGCCCGGAGCCCTCAGCACGGTGTGCCCTCCTGCCCTCTCGCCCAGGAGCCATGTGCACTCCCAGTCTCTTCACCCTCGTCCTGGTCGTGCAGCCGTCCCGCGTCCTCCTGGGCATGAAGAAACGCGGGTTTGGAGCCGGGCTCTGGAATGGCTTCGGGGGGAAGGTGCAGCCGGGGGAGAGCATCGAGGAGGCTGCTCGCAGGTGCCGGGGCTCTGGGGCATGTGTTGGGCTGTGGGGTGGTGGGCTGCAGGTGGAGGTACCGTGGCTTAGCTGATCAATAACGATAGTATCCAGTAACATTGATATCAATAGTAGCCAGTGCGTTACCTGTGAGTGCAGTCATGAGCCATCTCTGAACGGAGAAAATCGCCTGCTCCGCTGGAGATGAGGGATCTTCCACACGTACAAAGAAACAGGATTGCTCCTCGTTGCCCACCATCTGCAAACCTTGTAACTGTCATCCAGTCTACTGAGTATCCCCCCCTCTCAGACTGGGATCTAAACTGAGACTCGGTTTGCTTGTGGTGGGCAGAGGTTCTCACACTGTTCAGAAAAGTGCAGTTTAATTTTGGCTATATAGCAGAATTACAGCTTATGCCATTGTACTGCCTATTGTTTAAATTTTGAAGCTATTGAACAGGTGCTACCTTCCAGTAGCGTTTTTAGCACTGTGTGAAAGTGTAGTGACAAAATATTAGAATTTCTCAGAGGTCTCTTATGAAAGGCACTGTGGAAATTTATTATTTGAACGCATGGCAGCGTTTTTAAGTCCTAATGCTGAGTTATGGAATTGAATTCCATCAGTACAGAGGTATAGTACCATTGAGGAAGCTTTAGTACTGATTTCTTGAAGTTTTCTTCTGTCTAGTCTCTAAAATCAAATAGCAGATCGCAGCTGAATTGCTGAACTCCTCTAAAAATTAGGTACCTTGTTCTTTACATAAACGTTGCTGATACAAAGCCATGCTTTGCCACCTCCTCACTTTCTGATATATGCCCAAAATTGCCCTCGCACCTGCAGGAAGTTCAGTGTTGGTGTGCTTAACAGCTACCTAACAGCTTTTGCCCTGAACCATCTCCTCAGCTGTGCCAGTGCAACTGCCTGGGCTCTGTGGTGAGCTAATCCAGGGGACAGAAGGGTCCTCTGTGCAGCTGTGCACCCAGCAATGCATGGGGTTAATGTACCTGACACTTACATCATGGCTTTGCATGTAATTTATCATTTCTGCATGGAGGGAAGGAGATCAGTTTTGTTACTTAAATCAGGCCTTCGTTTGCTAGGCTTACCCTACCACTCACTGTGGTGTAAATCTACTGATCTAATTTAGCATTCGATGTCCTAGGTGCGTGTTTATCTGTGCCAGCCAGAGTTAGAAAACAGAGCTTCAGTCCACACCAGATGTCAAGTGGTGAAAGTTTCAGCCACCTCAGTGCAAAGTGCCACAGCACAGCCAGCGCCTGCTGCTGCGGGCTGTGGAACAGTCCCATCCACAGCCCTTTCCACGTCGCTGGTAGGACTTTACTACGGAATGACGCAACCAATTCCTGCCAGGTCAACTGAGCAGGAAGCAGTGCCCAGAGCCAGGGCCAGCTCGGCACGCAGCCCACCTTCCTGGTGGGGAGCGACACTGTTGCAGTGCTGCCTCGAGGTGCAGCTTTTCTCCAAGTGGTGTCACAGTCCACATCAAACTTAACTTGTAAAACCTCTGCTCTGTATTCAGAGGTCAGGTATTAGGCTGTGGTTCCGTGTTGCACTGTCTCAGTTGGGTTTGCAGTGGCATAAGGTGTGAAGTGTCCTCACAGCATGGATAGTTAAATATTAAGCTGAAACACCCACAAAAGTTTCCTGTATTGGTAAGATTTCTCTACTCCACTGGGTGTGCCATGTTCCCCTGAGCACCCAGGCACCCATGGCTCTTCAGTGGCACGTCCTACAAGGAGAGCATTTAGCTAGTCTGTTATTTCTAGTTTGCTACCTGTAATGTTTCCCCTTACTATGTAAAGAGCCAAACAGCTGACAGAGAAATTGCTTAGAGACCCATAGCGGTGTTGTGCTTTGTTTTTCAATCATCACAGCCTGTAAAATGAGGCTTTCAGCCTTGCTGGAAAACTGCCTCTATTTTAGACGTAGATAGTTTCTCAGGAAGATAAACTAAAATTAGCTAAGACATTAAGTTGGAATATAATTTTGAAGGATGGGATCCATGAAATTGATGCCAAAGAAAGCTGGAGCCTTAAAGATTATCTCTGATACATTTTAAAATTGTTAAGTTACTGCCAAATATGCAACTACATTAATTATTAACCTTAACTGAAGATAACACTGTTTCAAAGTATTCCTTATTTTTGTACATTAGAAAAACTGTGACTAACTTCAAGCTATGCTGATTCTGTTAGAGGCAAGTAAAAATAAAAAAAAAAATCCCTAACTGCGTAGCATAAACAGAGCAAGTAATTGAATGTGCTTCAAGTAGCTGTGCATGGTGATGCATGGAAAAGAGCTGTGTGGCAAGTGTCTCAAAGGGCTCGTAAAAGTCTTGCCTTCTAGGCTCTCGTTATGCTAAACGTACTTCCAAGGAACAGAAATGGAAAGTTTACACAATTGCTTTAGTTTTTTACACAGCATTTGAATGGGAGATGGCATTCCTAACGTTCTGTGTGCAAATCATGTTGTGTAGTATGCAGTGTTACCTAAAGAAGCTTGTTAGCCTTAGAAGTAGCTGATTTTTGTAGCCAGTACAGATGTTCTAGTATTTATTACCCGCTTCCCCACAATTCCAAAAGCTTTAGCTTGATGTCAGCAAAGCCTTTTTCTTGTCTAAATGAAGTATATCTCAGAGGTCTTAAACCACATCCAGCTAGTCACGAGTGTTAGCACACTTCTAACCTATCTCAGAAAAGATTATCATGTTGCAAGGAGTGTAAATTTTACTGAACAATCAATTTTCCCTAATCTTCCCCTTCCAACATGGACTATTTTCCTACTAGCCTTTAGGAGCTTGAAATAACACACAAGCCAGTAACATGGCTCCGCTCTGGTGTAAGTAGGCTCCTACTCTGGTGCAAGCCAGAACTCTGCCTTGCTCTGCAGGCTGTGCCTGGCTGTTTTACCGGTGCAGCTTTCACCTTTGGTTCACTGGAAGTGTTCTGAACATGCAAGCAAAGCCAATGACTGCTTTTTTTATCCTCCCACTGCTCGCTTTCATGTAAAGAAGTCTTATTTCTTGTGTAGGGAGCTCCTGGAGGAGAGTGGACTGACTGTGGACACTTTGCAGAAGATGGGTCAGATCACGTTTGAATTTGAAGGCAACTCTGAACTGATGGAAGTTCACATTTTCCGGGCAGATCACTTTCATGGAGAGCCAACAGAAAGCGATGGTAGGTAGCTAGTGAAGGGGAAGGAAGGATGTGCATTCTCTTCTGAGATAGTACTGCTCTTAAGAAATGCAGAACTATTTGTGCCGAAATCCGTTTGAGAAGAGAGGCAGCTAGGCTGTAGAGGGAAGCTGCTTGCTGACAGATTTTAAAGTCTGGGCAGCAAAAAAAATACGAGAGAAAGTTTCATGCAAAGTTCTCGTTTTCTCCCACCAGAAATGCGTCCACAGTGGTTTCCGCTGGATGAGGTGCCATTCAATCACATGTGGGCAGATGATGCCTATTGGTTTCCCCTGCTGCTTCAGAAAAAGCTGTTTCGTGGCTATTTTAAGTTCCAGGGACAAGACACTATCCTGGAGCACACTCTGAAAGAAGTGGACGAAGTTTAAGAAAACAGAAGCATTCAACTTGTGCTGCTGCCCACACTGGGCTAGAACACCACGAGTACTACGTAGAAGGGTGTCCTTTCTCACCAATCCAGCAAAGGAGACTTATTTGCCAGGTCACTGAGAAGTAAAGAAAATAAGGGGTTTTCTTAGAGCAGAAATAAAAGTAATGAGATTTTCCACGCTGTGAAGTCCCTGGCTGTGGCATACTTCAGTGGTTATGTGATCACAACTATTAAAAACTTAGTGTTAACCTTTTTTTTTTTTTCAGGTGGCTAATTTTTTAGGCTTTTCCCTCGTGGCTGGAAATGTTTTTTAAAAAGATTAAAAATATTTTTAGTAAAAGTATCTGTTGTTCTGTTGTAAAGGGCTAGCTACCTTCTAGACTGTTTAAGGCCTTTCAGGAGTTGGTGTCCTTTCACAGAAACATTAAGTGGACTGCAGCAGAATCCATTAAGTACCTCCTCTATGCCAGTTTCTAGCATTGAGCATTACTTCCTGGGACAAGGTGAGGCTTGACCAACACTCTGAAAGCCTTTTGCAAAGTTTAGGTAGAGATCCCTTCAGGATTCTCCAGCTGAAGGTAGCGTAAGGTTACAGGAGTTAAGGTCAGAGGAAGATGTTGGAGCCCTGCTTTTGCTCTTGCAGCTCCAGCTGTGAACCTGGAACTGTTTTGAGCCTTTCAGGTAAAAATATGCTGAACAAAATCAACTTTCAGCAAGTCCTTGTTGCAAAGTGCCATCACCTATGGCTGCAGGCTTTGCCACACGTCGGTAGCAGATGACCTGTTCAGCATTCAGGTCAGCGCAACTCAGCACGCTGGGCAGCAAAAGCTTCATCAAACTGGGCTAGAAATAACACATCACATATGTAACTTCTTACACAAGTTTTGGGTTTGTTTTTTAAACACTTTTACAAACACATATAACACTTACAGATAGAATCTTGGAATGTAATATAGGATCTGTAAACATTTCCAGTCTACCAGCTGTAGTAATAGTTCTTTAATTCCTGCATTTGGATAAAGTGCTTCATACATAAGGCTATTTGAGCAAAGCAAAGATACAGAATATTCCAGGCAGGCAAAATTCACACCCTCTGAACAAGATTGTTTCTTCTTGTCTCCCTCCAGCAGTTCTGAATAATTTATACCACTCGAAAACACCCTTCTTCATATGCTCAGTAAGCCCCAGCTCAGACCTAGAGGATAAGAGTTAACACCTTAGACGCTTTATTTTTCCTTTTGTGCTGCACACTGACTTATTTACAGGGTTTTTGATGCTCACCTCTGCGTCTGAGATAGCAGTAAGGGTTTCTGGCTGTTCTAATGGGGAGAATGGCTTGGGGCAAGTAGAGGAGAAAAAACAGGCACAAGGGGATGGGGTAGCTTGTAACAGGATGTAAGACCTTACTGTGTGGTAAGCAAGGGAGCAACTGGCAGCCAGTATCTGTTATCTTATTTCCTGGTGGAAATGGTTGCGTGGTGAGAGCGAGCAAGTTACTCTGTTCCTCCAGGAGTTTAGGTAGGAAAAAAACAAGCGAGGCTCAGCTCTGCACTTCTACTTGCTATCCCCTCTTCTGCAGTTGGTTCAATCGTTTTATGGAGATGCTTTCACCAGCACTGACTTTTAGCTCATCTCAAAGAGTAGTTACATTATTGCTTCCTGCTGCAGTTGTGGAGACTGGTATGTTTTAAATAAGTTCTGTCCCCAGCTGCTGATCTATCTTTTAGGAAACAGCACAAATTGAAGATTGTGAATTAGCCTGTTAACAAATTTCAGGAATTACACCCTTGCATGATCAAAGTAGAAGGTAAAAGCACTGGAATGCAGCAAGGCACTGTTGAAAACATGTTACAACTTAGGAAGAGCAACTTGCAAGGAGTTGGGAAGGAGAGGGAAAGAAGGATCAAAGATTAAGGTTGTATTGTAAATATCATTTGGAAAGCCTTTCAACACATGATGCTGGTCAAAAAGCCTGCATGTTGCCACTTCACAGCTTGAAGCAGAGGAGATCTTAGGAGCAACAAAAACATATAGCCCTTTTGAGAAAACATTTTTCAGGCAAAGTTTCAGGTTCTCAGCTGTTTACTACTCTGGTACCTCCACGACAGATTTTGAGAGACACGCTGACAGAAAGATTGGAGGCCTCTTCTATCACTACAAAGAGCAGTGATACCGCACACGTGAACACATGAAAGTCCCCATGAGCTCAAGCAATACACAAAAAGCTTCCCATTCAAGAAGGCACATTAACTCTTTGGCGCTACATTTTACAGGAGCATCAGTGCTTGGATAGGCAGCATGCACTCTTCAATTAGTCTTCTGGTTTGCTTAGTGTTTATTGCCATCTACCCAGCTACCAGCAACAGGAACTAACTCCATTAAGTCTTGTTCTCACCCTTGCGTAGAGCTGGGCTGTTTGCTGCAGAAGGCAGTAGCACGGAGGTAACTAGAACTGCTTCCCCTACGTTGATTAGGGTAGGCAGACAACTGAAGTCAACTTGATTGATTCCCTGCTGCATTCCTCTAGAGGAAGCAAGCTGTACTTGATGCTGCTCTCCAAGTCTGACAAATGCCTTAACTAAACAGGATAAATACAGTAAGGAAATCCCTCATCTATTGAGGTAAACATAATAGTGCTATTTGCACACTGACCAGTCTCCCAAAAACAAGGTTTGCAAACTAAGAATTGTATGAGATAGTGTATGCCTGTGTTTAGGAATGAGATAGAAGCTTGACGGTCCAGTAAGAACTCTGAAAGTGCTATTAGCTGTATCAGCTTTGAGAATACTGGGCCTCTGTTCTCAAAACACTAGGTGAACAGAGTAAAATCAAAACAAGATAACCCCACCCGCAAAACTGCTCTCCTCAAAGGCAAGGGCTGACAGTGGAGGAATGGGTGTCCTCTCAAAACAACGTAATTCCCATGTGGCCTGTGTTTATCGTTGTAACAGTCTCTACATTTCTTGCTTTGAAGGAGTACAGGAAAGAGTTAGTCTAAAGCCTAAACGTGGTTTTGATGTTTGGGTTTTTTGGGGGTTTGATTTTCGTTTTTATATAAAGTCCAAAAATGTCACTTTTTTCTCAACGTGAGAAGTGCGCAATCCCATTCAGGCTAACACTTTGCAAGTACTCCTACAGAACACAGCCCAGTCATCTACCCCAGCCAGGCAAGTTACAAGGAAGATCCATCATACAGATATCAGATCTTGCCCCAAAACATGCAGTATTTTCTCAATCTGCCTGTTCCTCACATCAGGCAAACAAGGCTAAATGAGAGGATGAGTACTAAGACTAAGCCAATGACACGCCATAACCAGCCAGCACCATCTAAAGATGCTAGGAGTGAAGAGCATTTAAAAATACGGTAACGCACTTTCCGCACTTTAACCACAAACTATTTTCCTAATCAAGACAAGGTCGAACAGAAAAACCTTTTGTGCTGTTCTTGAGATAAATCTTGTTACTGTACTGCAGAAACACTTCCCACCCCAGACAGTTTGTTCTGGCTTGTGAGCAAAGTCTCTTCTGCATCACTTTGGAAACCTTCAGGAGAGGGAATCAACTCTGCCACAGCCATCTGAAGGAAATCCGTCTCACTGGGCAAGGCCGATGTGCAGGAGGAGAGACTCAGAAGAGAACTAACATTTGAACTGCTATAGAAAGCTCTTAATAATGCATTCTGAGCAGGACTGTGAAAAAGACTCCCTACACACTGCTCACGGCCCAGCACCCAAGAAATTCACCCACATAAGTGCACTTTACCACATTTTCAGGGGTGTGTGTCATGGTTACGCCAGTCTCATAAAACTGGGCAAGTAACTTCTTATCTTGCTCCTAGCTGAAGAAACTAACTCATAATTTCCACCTGGACTAGGAAGAGTTTCACGTTGCATTGACTTTTCTATTTCTTTTTTTTTAAAAAAAAGCAGCTTTTATGATTGGAGGATTTAAATATATTTCCTGCTAATGGGGAAGTTCCCCAATGGGAAAATACTGTAATGGTTCCAGTTTGACAGTGAGCACTCATCCTTGTTAACGCGCTTCCTTTTTACCCACTCAAACAATACCCTAAGAAGCCAAGTCTCAAATTCCCCTTTGGCAGCTATTTTAGCTCCAGAGAAGTTCGGTTCAGGGGAGTCCTGTTGACGTAGAGTTTTGCTGCATACGTCTGCAGTTTCTTCACTTACTAGTTTCTCTAGAGGATATGCACGACTTCCCCTCCTGAGGGAATGACACGCAAAATCTCCTCCTCCGACTCTTTGCCTCATGAGGGAAAGTCACCAGAGATACGAAGTGAAACACGGAGAATGTTCAGTCCCCTTAGCACAATCATAACTCGTTCTAAAAAGCCCATTACCAAGGACCATGCTATCGTCTTCTCTCCTTCACAAACACAATCCAATGCTACCCAGAGCCAGAAAAAAAAGAATGACAGTAACATCCTGATAAATACTGATTTTTTCCTAATGAATTTTATCAGCACTGGGTCCCAGCCCGCTGGTGTAACAGAATACTTCATCTGATAGTAAACCAAAGAAAACACTAGCCTTTAGGTCAGCAGCTCTCCAATAGTCCTAAAGCTACTCAACAGATGGATGTCAGAACCTCCAGAAGAAAATCAACAAGCTACCTTGCAGCTCTTCTGCTCGTACAGTATGAGTGGTTTACAATTAAGGAGTGTTTTATTCAATTATTTTCTCATTTATGTCAGGCAAACGCCTCTGAGTTCCTGAACCCAGCTGTCTTTGGCCCCAAAATGAAAAATACGAGCAAGTCCCCAGGCTGCCCTGCAACCCTCAGCTGACACCGACTGACGACACAGTCTGCCTGGACTCCCTGGGAAAACTCCTGCCACACAGCAGCACTGCCCCCTGCCCAGCCGGGTCAGTGAATCCCACTTCAGTCACGTACTACGTGCTAAGATCCGGCAGTAAGAAATCAAATCCAGACACCTATCAATGGGATGGGGGATGGCTTTCAGCTTTCCTTTGCCTGTACCACAGGCCCTTCCAAGCTCAAAAGGCAATCCATCCCTAGAACAAGCAAAGGCTTTAGATATCTTGTTCATCTCAGCACTTCAGAGATGCACAGAGATGTGTCAGTGTGCGTGCAGATTAACGTTACTGGATGCAAAGGCATCAGCAACAACACTGCAGCACTCACTGCACCACATCACGTCCTGACCCCATGAAGAGTGTCTGCAGGATAATGATCATCAGTTCTGCCCCAGAGCATTTAAAAATTAAGAGATTGTCCTTATATCCATATGTTCTGTCCCACATCCAGTCTGTCTAAATCAGAGAGCAGCTCAAA